ATGAGAAAGATTTACAAACTTTAAAAATTTTTCATGAAATGATTTTCAATTTTGAATTGAAACGCCTTCGGCGATCCTAAGTTCTCGGCGATAAAAAAAAACTAATGTGTCCACAAACGAAAATTTTTCATGAAATGATTTTCAATTTTGAATTGAAACGCCTTCGGCGATCCTAAGTTCTCGGCGATAAAAAAAAAACTAATGTGTCCACAAACGAAAATTTTTCATGAAATTTCAATGCAAATTAAAATATACGTATTTTGAAAAATTATATAAGCTTTTTCTACGATGAGATATAACGTTTACGATGAGATTAACGAAAAAATTTCAGTATGAATTAAACTTCTATTTCGATCCTTACAGGGATCTTTTAATAGCTTACAAGTACGGAATCGTGGTGACGTTATGAGATTGTAACGGGCAATAAATTCGCGCGGGAAGTAAATCCGCGCAAATCCTCGATGCGCAGACGGTCACAAGTGTCGGTAGTAGATTATGTAATGTGACGTTGGCGTAATTATACCGGTTTTTTGCACAGACAAGATCTATTAATCATGCCGCCGAGCAATAGTATCTGTTCAACAGATCGAATAAACCCGATATCTAGATCGAACGCGAAGCGCGCGCGCCTCGAAATGCAAGGAACTTGAAAGAGAGAAATTATTAATTATTCATTTAAACTTACGACAGAGAATATAATGTTATACTTATTAAAATTCATCAGGTACTACTTATCTATCGGTCTTGATACTTCCAATGGGAATGAATGGGAACTTTCTGTTTTAATGAGGAATAAAATGCTTTCCGAGAATGGCAGCGTCGCTTGAAAAAGAAATAAATAAATAAAAGGAATTTTTCGGAAAAATCGTACAAGTTCTCTTCTTCGAATACCGTGCAATCTCGCGTTTGCCCCGGAAACAGATCAATCAAAATCATCTGCACGCGAAATAAGCGAAGTCGCGTTCTTTTCAATTGCTAATCTTCGTCGGAATCTCGGACAAAAAGTCCGTGGGACATCGAAAATAAATCTCAGACGCAAGAGTCATATGACAGGCGGTGCGGGCGCGGCGCGACGGTGGCGGTCCGTAATCTCTCGTTTGGCTCGCGGTCCATTTGCAGGTGGCTCATCTGCCCCGTGCGAATGAGTCCCGTAAATGACGTGCAGATATTATTTGTTTGTTCGCGATATTAGCGGTCGCGCGAATCGCGCGAGTAAATTCGCGGTAATTGTGTGTAAACGCGCCTTACTGGCGATACTTAGACGGACGTATTATTAGCGTGACGCGTCGACATACATGTTTTGGCGTGCGTGATCGGCGCGGGCGTAGGTATTCAGGCGAGACGCTTGTCGCGTATAGCATTTCGTAACTTTGAGAAGAAACAATGCGCGTTTTTTTCTCGCGTGAATCTGTACAAAGAGCTCCTTGCCTTTTTTACTTATTGTTCTTCACATACTTCATATATGTAGCAAGAGCCAAAAAATTGGCAATCTTCGTTCTCAGGGAAGCGAGGGGGAAGATAGTCAATTTGAGATTGCAATCAGATCGGACAATATGTTAATTTGCGTATCAGTATAAAATTAATATTTTGAATTAACAGCAAATAAATAAATATATGTATTATATAATATACTAATATATCGTATATTTTATATATTATATAATTATATAATATATTTTTTCAATATACATATTGACTCTCACTATTGGGAGCAAGAGAAAATTGCGGGTCGCGTTATCTACCTGAACGTCATTAGAATGATATCGAATAAGAACGATCGTTATATATAAAGCCGACTTATCCTTATATTTGCTATTTTTGTTGCGTCGCTTTTTGCGTCGCTATCGTAATAACATCGTTTACGTAAGTAACAATCACCTCATATCCGAACGCATCCCGATGAGCAAGGGAAGGGGTCGAACGTTCAAATTAACGTATAGTGATCTAATATCTGGAAAAGTTGACCAAACAAACAAGAATTTCAATTTTTTATTTTATTTTAGTCTTTTCAAATATTGTATTATATATTATTCTTAAATATTTTTTGCAATATGTGTAATAGTTAATTCCTGATTAATTTAATATTTATTGATAATTTAGAAATATTTTCTTAAAATTGAATAATTTGACAAGTGTATTTTATAAGTTACATTTGCTGACATTAATATAATATAAATTGTTAATTTCTTTTGTATATAATGTGTTCACACAATATTCTGATCTATGAAATATATCACCATATACAATGCAAAAAAAATGCAAATTGTTTTTTTTATAATATAAATATTTATAAATTCCTATATTCTTTATGCAGTATTTTATTTATGCTCGTGACGTAAATAAAATTATCGATATAAAAAGTTTAATTTGATGTGACGCATTCTATCTTGTTTTATAATGTGTTTATCGTCTATAGAAAATATATAACAAAAAGAGAAATAGATGCTTCTAAGTGCTACTAACAGGATATCAGTTTCTAGTATAGAATTCATAATAATAAAATAGTATAAGAGCAATAAGAACAGTTTGCAGACACTTTTAATGGATCCATTTGCACTGTTTTATTTTATTGCTTAAAATTCTGGTCTTTAAGCATTTAAATAAAAAATTAAAAATTCATATTTTAGCAAATCTTTACCCAGATTTTAGACTATCGTATTACGCGTCTTGCTCAAAAATATAATCTGATTGTGAGTAACAAGTAGACAGTTTGATCAAACTGCAGTCTACCCGTTACTCACTCAATGCTCGCATGATGAAATATCTAGATAACAAGTAAAAATAGAAAAAGACACGGATATCGTGACTACGAGACTCGGAAATGTTAGGAATTTACTTAATAGAATTCGTTGCGATAAAGATAATTCAGTATAGCTTTCTTCAAAATGCAGTTCGACTCCACTATAATTGTCTTTTTCTTAATTTTTTTCCCTAAGTTTCATGCAAGATGATATAATTTATTCAATGAAAAATTTAAAGAAGAAACTCACCGATGCCCTCGACGACGTAGCGATCCTTGGCGTCCATGTTCGTGAGCTCGGTGACGCTCACAACGATTCTAACGCTCATTGTCCTACCTGCGTCCGAAAGTCTCGAGTCCCGCGGAGTGTCGCAAAATAGCAGGCATTCGGCGTTTTCCGATCTAATTGGCAGACAGTAATGTCACATGTTAGACACATGAGACTCGATATTTTTATTATAACTATTTTATTATTTTTACTGTAACTTTCCGAAAATATTCGATATCTATCAATCTTTAACGCCGGGGTTCTAATAGTTTAATTAAAAATTCCCGTTCTAGTAGTTTAATTAAAGGAGCGTGAACGCGGCAACTCTTTCGTTTCTTTTTAATTATTTAATTATATAATTTAATTCCGTTAATTTCTTTTACCTTAATTTCTTTCAATAATAAACTCTTTAAGCATATAATGTAAACAAATATTTGTTTGCATAAATAAATTACGTAATGCACGATTAGAACTGTATGTATGTACAATTGAAATGTTACACGCAAAAAAAATTGAAAATATGGAATAAAAATTTTTCACGTTTTTAGTTTTGCTAGCGTTAAATTATTTTAAATATTTGAAAGTTTATTAATATGTAGGTATATACTTTTTAAATGTTCTTTAAATCTTATATATTAGACATCAAATTCATTTCGACAGCGACTATTAATGGATATATAAAATATTTTCATATTTAAAATAAATAAATTATTGAAGAAATTATTTGTACATGTATGTGTATATATTACTCATGCAATAGTGTATGCATATTAGATTTTGAAAATTGAGGAAGTAGAAATATTTCTTTTTTCTTTCATTTCACAGTATTTATTTTACAATATGAAGCTATTTTTACCTTTAAAATTAACTTTTTTAAGAATAAAACCTTTAAACAAAAAAGTTTTATTCTATACTTTCACGCGTTCTTTTATCTCATTTAGATCTACTATAAGGTGAGCGTTATTAAGATGCCAGAATCGAATTCGTCTGATCGCAGATCCCAGAGACGTGCGATTCGACGCGACGTTCAATAACCAACCTGAGACGATCTAAGAATCCGAAAGTGTGTCTACTTCGAGAGGCCACTCGTTGCGCGAGAATCGGTAATGCGCGTCCGCGCGGTCCGAGTGTCGCGGCGAGTCTGCAAGAACGGGCCGGACACTTTCATTAACAACAAACACAACAATAACAACGCACGTACGAGAAGTCACGCGCCGCGCGTACCGCCGGGCGCGGTGCCCGTACCGAAACTTCAACAGTTAAACGCGTGTAGCGCGTTCTCGCGAATTCCCGAAGTGCTTCTGCGAAGGCCGTTCAGACGCGATCGCAGATCCAGGAAGACGATGAGACGTGTCCGATGATATCTCGACAGGAAAAGACACTTGCAACGTCCTCCACGAGTAAGGCTCGAGTGTCGCCTTGAAGCAATGGGTTTTCTTCAAGAACGACCGATGATATCTCTCTCAGTTTTGTCTCCTTCTCAGGCTACCACGGATGTTTTCTTAAGTTTCAGAAGAGGACAGCGGGGTGGGGGGATCCTCCCTCCAAGATCATTGTGATAATCGCTTTCCAAGATAATTTGTCTTATATTTTATTTATCTTGGAACTTTCTCTCAAGCTTTGTGATCTTATCTTCTAAATCTTTCCGTGTGTTCCTTCCAAAACTATTTATGTTTCTTTTAAAAGACACTAAAAGAAGAACTAAAAGAAGCGTATCCTTATAATTTCCGTAGAAATGTCCGTGAGTCACTTAAACCAACACATCGCCGTCAATTTTTTTCACTTCAGGTAATCTTGAAATTTTTTTCCGTTACTTTTTTAACTTCACTTCGATTACCTACAATGAATATTAAATAATATTTATTTCTTTTAATATATACATAGATCTTTCTCCGTTATAAATTTCTTTAAATTTTTAAATTTTTCCGCTCAATTTTTCTTTCGTTATGTCCGTTTCTCAATCTTTTGCCTAATCTTTCACTTTTCTTAATCTTTCAAGTTTTCTTCGTTCTTTTTGTTTGCTTACGCGTATGCACCTTTTCTATGATCCCGTTAAATCCCGTTAAATCGATTGATTCACTGGATTACTTCGGCCTTTTCACCTGTGCTTTGTTGCCTTTGAAGACTTCCGCTCGTTCAACTTGACTGGTGGAACGTTTTGCTTCTCACTAGATTAATAGAATCAATGGCAGCGACTCGTTACGGATCTGCAGCGCGTTTTCCGCGGCCCGTGACCTTGACAAGTCCCACCCGACGGTGTTGGTAGCAGCAGCAGCAGCAATAGCAGCAGATTGGCATTACGTAAAACCGAAGTTACGACGCTCAATTCGCCGACCCAGCGTCGCGACGCCCCCCAGCACTTGCAAGAACATCACCTCGACTGTCATTCTTGTGTCTAGCAGTTATACGACAAAGAGATATCAATCTCCACTGAATCCCCGGGAGCGGAAACCTTGGCGGAAACTTTGTTGACTTTGGAAATAAGAAACGACTGATTATGGAAATTTAGATGGAAAGAAAATGGAAATTGCTCCGTTTTTTTTTCTTTTAAAGTCTCTTCAAAAGAGTCTTCAAGGAAGAAAAGTGATTGTTGAGTGACAGAGAAAATATCTTTCTCTTTCATAAAAACGCGTCACCGACAGCACTTTAATAGTGTTTCAGAAGTCCTAGAATGTTTCCAGAAGAATTCCTCGAAATCGTCGTAGATCTTCTCGAACGAACAACTTATCTCTTCATTAGTAGCATTTCTTTCTAAACGCATTTTTCATTAGGAATTAAACGCGCATAAAAATATTCCTTAGAAAATTTCTCTTTAGCGAGTATATAATCTTGCAAAGAATTTTTTTCCGACATGTTTCCTTTTACGAACAGCTCCAGCTGAAAGTATCCCTTTGAATGTTCTTCCGGCAGATGTTTCTAATAAATTTCTTCTTTAAACTTTTCTGTAGAAGATATATTTTTTTAAATTATTTATAAAATCCTTTGAGAAATATTCCTTTGAAGAGATTTGTTCACGAGTAATTCTTTCTTTGGTCAAAATATCTTCTACGAAGTTTTCTCGATAATCGCTTTTCTGTTTCAGAAGCGAGTCGAAAAATCTCTATTATCATTCTAATGCAATATTTCCATATTTGCCTCTCAGAATTTTTCCATGCTGTAGACCAGTCATCTTCTTTCGCGTCGAATCATCGACGAATAATTGGCGATTAATATTCTTCACACACCGATCCTCGTATGACAAATCATTCCGCTAATAGATTATCGTTCCTTTATTTTTCTTTGTGGTACGATGTGTGGAAGAAAACAGCCTGCTTATATATTTATCGTGAATTGATATTTTACTATTACGATCATTTTGATCGTTATAATATTTTTCCGAGAATATTCAAGCGTTATATTTATAACATTTGCTATCTAGCGTATCATTTTGAATGTATAAGTTTCTAGTCCAAGAACCGAAATTTTTTGTTTAAATCTAATCTATCGCCAATCCTAATTGCAATTATTTATTGTACGTCATTCGAATAATTTTTTTTAAATTTTATATCCCAATCCTTCAATCGCGCGATTAAAATATTCCATAAAATATTCGATAAATGTGAAGAATTTCTTTTTTTATGCAGATAATATAGTGATCGAATTATTTTTTTTAAACATTTAAACAAAAAGAGATTCAGGAAAATAATTAGTGTGTGAAAAGAGAAAAGTATCAGAGAGAGAATAATATAATCTCGACGAATTCTGATTTCACTGCTACAGGTACGTGCGAAAATGATCTCTGAATTTATTTGCGAAATCGCGACGTTTGGCGCGAGGACCGTTCGTGCATATTTATGCCGTGGATTGAATCAGATTGAATTCACCGGAGCTATACTGGTTTCGGTCTCGAAACTTTAAATGCGACTTTCGGAAAACGGATTGATCGATCGTCCAAGAGGATGATATTCTCCTAGATCGCCGATTGCGGTGTATTTACGAGATCGCAACCACGTGGTGGAATTACAGGTATTACTAGTCCCAAAGTAGCACGGTAATATGCACACGCGCCACGTGATTCCGCGAGGAATACGATGCGCATCGTCCCGCGATCCGTGCAGCATGATCGATTAATGCCCGATTTTACGAGCCCTCGAAAATCGAATGCTTCCTAATTCTTCTTCTGCGACAATTTATTAACAATATATATTAATACAATTCACAGAATTGCTTTTAGCAATTAAATTAATTGCTCATCATCAGTTAACGCTGATAATGCTGATAAATAATTACTCATCATCAAGTTAATATATATATATATATATATATATATATATATATAATATAATATAATTATTAATGATTAAACTTAAAATGTTCAATGTTATTTGAAACGTTCAAAAGCAAGTTTGTTCTGATAAATCAAAATTCTTCAAAAGTCAATTACATTTTCCACAGTATACAAAGCGCAAGTTAAAATAAAACTATTTTGACGGAAATTTATATAGAGTTTATTGAATACTATATAAATAAAATTGCCCAAATATATTACTTTGATTTATCATTAATAACTGAATATGACGAAAGAAATCCCACAATGTATTAAATTCGTCAAGACAGATCACGCGACGATCACGCTGTTCTATCTCTTGACTTATCAGTTCTGACAGTCGAATCTCTCTATACGAATTAGCGGTGCAAGTCGATCGATTTCGAATCTCGTAAATCTTTTTTCGAAATTCAAGATTTAAATCAGATAGATGTTGAAATTGGTATTCTCTCAGGATCGTGTATTTTCGGTATATCGCAAATCCCCAAATTATTCCCAGATTCTTCCACACAACGAACCATTATCTCGCCGCGCTATCACTGCGGGACATCCCCGATCTCTGAAAATCCTATCCTATTGTGATTGTGATTTCGCAATTGCGACTTCTGGCACAGTTTACCGCGCACGCGACGACAAATGAAAACAAGACGCGGGAACAAACGCGCTGTCTGGCCGACAACCTCGATCGCTACGCGGTCAATGCGTATAGCGACAAATAAATTGCTACGCTCTACGAAAAAGAGAACGACAATCGACGCGGGCGGACGGCAGGACTCACTGCACGCGACAAGAATCTCCGGGAGAACCTGCGACAACCGTATATACGTCAGACTGGCGGAAAGCCAGTCGTTCGCCGTCGTAACGACAGGTGTTGTTGGAGAACCTGAGGTGGGGTGGGTGCGCAACGAGAGCCCGAGTGGGGATTGTATTTGGCCCGAAAGTGGGGTGAAAACCTTCGCCGAGAGGAGTCGACCTCAGTTGCTGCTGCTGCGCGCAGCATCTATATGTTATGGATCCTTGATACGACTCGAATCTCGGATAGAGATATTCCCTCTTACTATATTAGAGATGGAAAAGAAAAAAAATCTGAAGGAAGGTGAGAGAAAGCAAAAAGGAGATTGAAAAAATTGGGATGAGTTTATATATGTATATTAAAAAGTTCAGACACTTATGCGCACGTCAATCTCTTTAGTTTTCAACCCATTTTAGATGATCTATATAATTCGTATCTGTAGAATTCAGAATAGAATTTTATTCATAATTTTAACTCGCGCGCGCACACACACACACACATACACACACACACACACACACACACACACACACACACACAAAGAATTTGATTACACACATAAAATATACAGTGTGTTTGATTTAATGGTACACACTTAGGTAATGTTAATTATTTTTTTAAATATATAATTATAAAAATTTTTTAAATAAAGTTATTTCCTTTTTTCACTCATATTTAAAAGCATCACAAGTGACGTTATCTCATAAACGACTACCGAAGAATAGCATTTTATTGCACATTATTGAACATGTTATAAAATACCTTATAAAACTGTCATAAAATAGATATATTATCCATTTACAAAAAATTGTTATTAAAAACATTCTCAAAAAATAATTTAAAATTTGAGTTTATGTCGTTGTAAGTAGTATAGATTTTTTTAAAGAAAATAACTTTTATTTGAAAAGATTTTTTTATAATTATTATATTAAAAAAAAATAACTGGACAATGAATGTATACTCTTAAACCAAACACTCTGTAGATCAGAACATATTATAACATGCGCGCGTAAATATATATATACTTATTCTGATATATGATTTATACATACGTGTATTCTCTTTAAATGTTTTTGTGTTGCAGCCATATATAGAATTATAAATAATTGAATTCTGTTATGAACTATATTAGATTATCTAAAATAAGCTTAACTTAATCATATATTATCATCATTATTATTTGGCCCGCATTATTTTTCTTGTTCTCAATCTTCCATTTCTGCCTTTTGAATTTAAATTAGTGTATTACAGAAATACTTGTATACATTTATTGATTAAAAATATAATAATAATAACAATTTAACGTGTCATTGTATGCATTTTGAAATAATAATAATAATAACAATTTGACGTTTCATTGAATGTATGTATTTTAAAATGATTTGAAACATATACAAATGTCTTATTTGGTATATGCAAACTGTATTTCCATATTATGAATTTTCGGTATAGCTTTTTATGTATATACATATAGATTTTTATGTACCAATATATTCTGCACTAAATATACGAAATATATTTATTTGAATCTTATTCGTCAAAAAAACATCGCATAACAATATATCGCATAAAATAACAATAATACTTTGATTCGATGTATATCTGCGTATCACAGATCCTTGAAACAACTTCGATTTCTGTAGAGATATTCCATACGAAGAGACGTAAGCATTCAGAATTATGTTTATCTTATTTCTTAAGGAAAGTTGCTTTTCAGGATTACACACATATACGTATAAAGCAAGAAATATGTGTGATATCGATTGAAATGGACCGGAAGAGCGTCGGAGATCGTATCGCCAGGGGAATTACCAATAACATGAGAAAATGATCGCTGATCGTTAATCACGGCTGATAAACGTTACTGTTATTAATATAAAAAGCGATACGCCACTAATTATGCCTGGTTTTATTGCGCACTTTGAAATTTAAATGTTTGACAAGATGAAGTTATAACCGATGTGTCTTATGTAATAAAAGAATAAAATTAATAGCGATAAAGTAAAGTGGCCACAAAATTATGAGTCCATTAAGAGAAAAAACGAGATAATTAATTAATTAAAACAAATAAGATATAAAATAATTCATAAATTTGTAAGTTATGTAATAATTTATCATATTATTTCAATTTGCAACTTAAATAAGCTCAAACAAAAATTCTCTTATTATATTAAAAATATTATATAATTTAAAACGTTAATAAATTAATGTTAATTGAAATAATCCTCCGGTATTATATCAATTTATTAATTAATTAAAAAATGAAAGTAAAATTATTAGGCTAAATTGGTTTAAGAATTTGTTCTTAAGAATTGAAGTATATTCATTAAAATAATAAAATTGGGAATTATTATTATATATAATTATTTTATATATAAATATATGATATTTACACACACACACACACACACACACACACACACACACCCACACTGAGAAAAAAATTGATTGTACAAACTAAATTTATATAGTTGTTTGATCCAATGGTTGATTTCTTTATTAGTTACACAAAGAAAGGTATAGTTCATGCATACCAACCATCAAAATTTTTTAATCAAGAATTAACTAAACCAACTCAATTAAATTATTTTATCCGAAATACTAGTAGTATTTATTTGTGTTTGCATGCTATTTAGTTATCCAAGTAATATAATTGTTCAAATTCCAAATATCGAACTGACTAAACAATAGGGATAATAAATAGTGTGTATTTTTAATCGAACAGTTGAGTTAAATACGACAAATTTTTGTTGAAACAAAATAGTTTAGTAAAAAATAGTATTTTGTTTATAATACAAATATAACAAATTATTTTGTGTCATCGTAATAACGTTTAGTTGAACGTATTGGACTAAATATTTTGGTAAGATAAAACAAATTTTGTATTTTTCAACAAATTTTTTTTTCTCTAGTGTAGGTATACACAAACGTGCGCATTCATGCATGTACACACATGTACAGGAAGCGTAATCGCGATATGGCTAATAATAATAAATGCATTACAAACAAGTATTACAAGGTGAAATACTTAGGAAATGAAAAACCAGAGATACATTTATAATAAGTTACATAATCGTGTGTCACTTACAAAAAATGCTGGATTTAAATGTTATTCATATTCGCACGGGTACGTAGGACAATGGCGGAAGTATTAGACGCATAAAATATTACGTCAAAGAGTTATTCCGGCCGAAACTCAAAAAAATGATCTTAATATTTAATTTAAGAGGGAAGAATGCACACATTTTCAAGTATATCCTATTTGTAATATTTTTTACCAAAATCGAATATATTGAAGAATTTATTTTCTTTTTTTATCGCGCGAGCTGATCTCATTTCTTTCGCCCCAAAATACTGAAACTGTGATTCAAAATCTGAAGTTAAATATATGTATATTAAAAATATGTGAACGCAATTTCACATATTTTAAATATATTTAATAGCTAACTTTACAGTGAAACTGCAACTTCTATAAAATTAGGAGATTCTAAACTGAAAAGTGAAAACCGAACTCCATGATGTTGCTGATTTAGTGACAATTTGCAATGTGTAGGAGAGATAGATTACGACCCTTCTAGGGTTGTAATACTTTTTGAAAAACAGGTTCCTTTCTTTATTAGTTTGAAGTTAATAAATTAAGAATAGTTATACAATTATTTTAAACCGTGATTCTTTTGTTTTAAAATACTAAATATTTAAATATAAAAGATATTTTACTTGTAAAACTATATGAATAATTTTAAATTTTATAATATTTTTCATGTGTTACTTTTAACCCCGTATCTGAGGTCAGTTGTAATATTTCTTATCGGGATAAGAATAGGTAACACATAATAAGAATGAATAAAGAATGGATAAGAATAGGTAACACATAATCAGAATGAATTGGTTATTTTTCAAAAGAATATTTAATATTGTAGGTTACAACATTTGTTAATAAAATATATTTTTAAAGAATAAATGAGTTAAAAAATAAATTCAAATAAATAAATTCAAATAATGTATTAATCAATGAAAAAGATATTTCATATTAAGTGTAAAATACATATAAGAAATATTAAAAATTTGAGCGCCAACATACTCTTAAAAATTACTCTTGAAAATTACGAGGAAGTAATTTTCAATATATCTACTCTTTTATATACACGCCCGATATTGATGCGTACGTTTCTAATTTATCATGCAATAGCTAGTACACTATTATAAACTTTCATCTCTTTCTTATGCTTTTATATCTTGTTTAAAATATTTGTATTCAACTTTTCTCTGTTATTTTTAACCCAGTCTTCTCTACGCCTTTTTGTTTTCACATCCGAATTTTCAATCAAAAGAATTTAGAAAACATAGTTAAAATTTTACTATAAAATGTGTGATTATCTTATAGATTTTATGTTTAATACTATAGGTAAAAGAATAAAAGATTTTGTTCATAAAAAGTGGTTAAAAGTCTATTAAATTTAATTTATTATGTATAGACTCAATGAATTCTATACTCTCTTCCGAGATCGTCTAAAAGAAATGTAGTTTACAAAATCAATAGTAAAGATTGCGATGCTCCCTACGTAGGACATACAGACAACTATACATACGAGAGTTTCTGAACATCTGAACTACATTAGGAGGAATACGTTTACTCAGTTCAGTCATTACAGAACATAAATCATATCACAATCATGAGTTTGAATTGAATAAAGTGGAAATTTTGAATATAGTGAAAGACATTATAATAAACGATTGATATCAGATGTTAAGAGAGTTACATATCAAAAGTCAAAAAACCAGTCTTAATTTACAAACTGGCACTGATTTGCTTGACCATGCTTATTTATCTATCATTAGCAACTTATAAATATTGCACTTTGTTAACATATATTTTAATGTTTGACCTATCTCGCAATTCTTCGCAATATTGACAATAATTGCTTATCATTCGTTTCGCAGGATTCCGAACTTTGAAGATATTACGAGCAAGCTATTTAATTTATTATTTTATCACGTTGGCCATGATACTCGATCTTTTTTTAATTTATACATTTT